ACTACTGGATAGCAGTAATAGTGGAAGGTGACACTGGCAAAGGATCTTTCATAGGCGGTGATAGTGACAATCAAGGTAACTCATATTAATACTGCATAGAAAAAAAGATAGTGGTAAACCAATTCTGAATGTTTATACCTTGAAAACTATACAATGGGACAATAAAAAAATGAGATAGTGCTGAAAGATGAGATTACAATGGCAGAAGGCACTTAACTGTACAAGATAGAAACTTAATATGAAGGGACTTGAAATTCCAGGATACTCTGATAGACTGGAGGACTTCTTCTTTAAAGAAAGAATTGTAGAAGAGATAAAGAGAATAATTAACCCCTTTCTGATGAATATGGTAAAGTGCTGAAATCATTGTAGATTTATATTGAGTCCACCTATTTCACCATTATTACAAGTAGTGGAGATTTAAAATAAGCTTAAAGGACTATTAGTAGAGAAAGGGTTAAATACAATAAAGAGTTGGATGAAAAAGATAAAAGCTAAGAATATTATAAAGGAAATCTTGGGGGAAGAAGAGGGAATATTCCAGTTAAACATACTCCAAATTGAAAGTTGGACTAAAGAGTGGACAAGAAAAAAAAGGAGAGATTTGAAAATTTACAAAATTTAAGAAGATTATCCCACAAAGACAAGAGCAAGAAGAAGGAAGCAAAAGAAAGGGAACAGTTAGTATAATTTATAAAATGTTAGTGCATTCAGGATCTGATCAAACAACAATGAAAAATCAGTGGCAGGAGAATTTTAAAGAAAAGATTAAAGGAGAGGACTGTAATAGGATATAGTCACAAAGAATAATGAAGAATATTTCTATAATGGTAAAAGAAAATTGTTATAAGGTAGCATGGAGATGCTATTTAACTCCAGCAATATTGATTATAATTAATAAAAATATACCATCTCAATGCTGGAGATGCAAAAAGAAAAAAGGGACCTATATGCACATATGTTGGACATGTGAAATAAGGAAGAATGGGCACTGGTTTTTAAAGAAAGTAGATAAATTATTGGATGCACTATTGCCAAGTATTGCCCTCCTGAATATAATTAAGAATTTGAAAAAAAGATCAGAAAGAGTTAGTAGTTATAATGGTTACCGTAGCAAGATTAATATTTGCAAAGAATTGGAAAAGTGATAAACAAATGAATAATGAAGATTGGTATAAAGCAATGTGGAGTTTAGCAATTAATGTTAAATTAACATATGAAATGAAAATAAGAAGAGGAATGGTAAAATCTAAAGATTTCAAAGATGTATGGAATTTATACTTGGAATATGTCTTTTCAAAGGGGAAAGGCTATAGGCCGGGAGAAGAATCAATGTACTTTTGGGAAGGAATGGGATGAAAAGTTGTAAAATGATATTATTGATTACCTAGTCCCGAGAGTGAAGGCAGCAAAGATGGGGAAGGTTTAATTTGTATTGTGTATAGGAGAAGGGGACGACAGAGGATGAGATGGTTGGACAGTGTCACCGAAGCGACCAATAGTAATAATAGTAATAATAATAAAGAAGGCACTCAATCTGCTATTGGGGAAGAGCAAAGTAAGTACAAGTAGTGCAGTTACTAATGAAGCAATGGGATTAAAGCTGAAAGGACATATAGAAGCTGGTGTGTACAGGTCATATGTGTCATATAACTGGAACCTGGAATGTGAGAAGTATGAATCAAAGTATGCTTGTGATCATAATGAAGAAGTGGAATATTTAAACATAGTAATACTTTGGATGAGTGAACAAACATGAACTGGAATAGAACATTTTGAATCAGATAATTATAAAAAATTTAACACTAGAAACAACAGTGTGACTCTAATAATGAGTTGAGATACAGTACAAGCTGCTAAGAGCTGTAATTCAAAATCAGACTGAATAGCATTAATTAGATTGAACTGAAACCCTGAGACATAATGATCTTTCAGGACTATGCTACAAATGCAAAGCAGAAAATAATAATAATAATATAAAGTTTTTATAAAAATGTCCAGGGTGAAGAGGATCATACATCAAAACAGGATGAGATTCTGAGAGCCTCTGTCCCACTTCCCATAAATCTATGGAATGACAACTTGAGAGAAAGCCAAAGATAAGGCTGAAACTTCAGTACCTTCCAAGGAAGTGGCTGCTGAACCTTCCACAGTAGTTTCTATCTATTGTGGGGCTCTTGTTTCTAAATAGAAGCTGCGCAACACCAGAAAGGGGTGATTTGCCCCTGTAAGTGCTGGCCTTAGAAGAACTATAGTGTTTTCACCAGGATGCAGAACAATCTGAAATGTGTCCTTTCTCAGCTCTCTCTCACTGCCAGAGGGGACAGAAGCTGGCAAGCAGGATGGGTAAGAAAAATCTCTTCCAGCTCCCTCTTCTTCTGTACATATGTATCTAGCAGGCTCAGAGGAGAAATCATCTTCTGAAAGAGCAGGTAAAAGTTGGGAGAGGACAAAGACCGATGTGGCAAAAGAACATAAGCCCATGTCATGTGAGCCTCCAGGTCCTGTCCTGCTTCCTTTAATCCAGGACATCCTCCAGAGGTTGCTGGACTGCACCTCCAGCATCGGCTATGCTTGCTAGTGCTGAGGGAAGTTGCAGTCCAGCTCATATCTGCTTTAATCTCAAGAGGAACACCAGTTCAGTAAGAGGGAAAAAAACATCAGAACGTTCCCCACACCAGAAAAGCTGGAGATGAAATTCAGGTGATACATCATGCAAAAACAGTCAACTGACACCCTATTGTGTGTGTCAAGTAGCTTGCCTCCTTTATCTCTACAATTCAGCTACACATTAGAAGGCATCAAGAGCAAAGCAGGTGAAGGTTGGGGAGGAACGTATGCACTAACTGTGTATCCCGGCACACACTTAAGTCCAGAGGTACTTAAGGTAGAGGTAAGAGGTAAGTCCACCTGCATTCAGAGAGGCTTCTTATTAAGTGTGTCAAAGATATAGCCAGGATTTGTGCTATCCTGACTATACCAGTTCCATCCGATTTTGAAAATGCAGAAATCAGGTCAGGACAGGCTGGATAGGAAACTATCAGGGATCCACAGGGATCTCCAAGCAAGGCAAGAGAAGAATCTCATTGGAAACGCTGGAGAGCCATTGCTGTTAGTACTGCCAGTCAGAGCTGACACTGCTAGACTGAATGGAGCTACTCAGGAGAAGGCAGCTCCTTGTGTTCATTTAATTCTAAATGTAAGCAGGGCTTGGCAAGGACAGACTATGATGGGAAACCACAGGAGAGGGCAACCCTTCTTCATATTATTTACCTAGATCTTGTAAAAAGTTAGCCTTTTCCAAGATGAGACTTAGGATCCCAAAAATGTAATTTTTTCAAGCTCTGAATTTCACACAAGGACTTTGGCTCAATTTCCAGATTGAAATGTCTCAAACATTAAGCCTTCAATCATCTCCATTCACAGCTGAGTGTTCTGACCCACTCCAGCAAAATATGCTTTTGTTACGCACTCCTATCCATGTTCACTTAAACTTCCCACTGTTTTGGGTATGGCTGTTCCCAAGTACATGTATGCAGCACTGCAGCCCAAGTGCTATGTACTGAAGCAAAAAGGTACACTGGTAGAGACCAAGCAAGTGATGTCTGACTGGGAAAGGGATCTGGATGCTGTGACAGACACCCAGCATGAAGCAGCTGTGCAAAAAGACCCCAGCTCATGCTAGTGGTCGGAAACAAAGCGGCCAATATCACAATGCCTTCATGCACATTTATGGTTTGTTCATATCTGGATTACTCTCTACGTTACGGCCCTTGCCCCTGAAAAAAGGGTGCTGGAAAGCTGATAAAGGGCAGCCAAAATGAGGAAAGGTAATGGTTGGTTTAAAAAGAGTGGGTAACGAGAAACATGATATAAATCTATAGAACTGTGCATGATGTGGGTAAAGTTGAGATGGGGAAACTTTTCTCCCTCTCTCATAATATGGATCATCGGGTGAAGCTGAAAGGTGGGTGATTCAGGATAAGCAAAAAGCAGCTTTTCTCCATGTTGTGCGAAGTAAGAATTAGAAAATTCACTACTCTAAGGTCTAGTGGTGGGACATTCATTTGAATAGTTTTAAGAAAGGATTAGATGAATTCCTGGAGGGTAAGTCTGTCAATGACTGCTTCTGGTCCTGGAGGTGATGTACTACTTTCACAGCCAGAGGCCTTCAATGAAACACCATCTGCTATAGAATAAGAGCAGGAAAAAGTTATTGACTCCTATCCTGCTTATGGTCTTTCCCTTAAGCATCTGATCGGTCGTATTATATACGGGAAATCAGATGCCAAACTAGTCAGGCCCTTGCTGTGGGCTGGCAGGGCAATTCTGAAAGTAACACACATACACCCCCCGATACCCATGAAGAACTTTCCATTAAAAACAGGCAGAGTTCATTTTTCAATTACATCCGGTTCCCATTAGATCCCACATTTTCTTTTCTTTTCTTTCTTTAAAAACACATATCAAGGTTACCAATAGGCATGAAAGCCTTCCCCCCTGTTCTGCTGGGGTCCTGCACAAAATGTACAATCAGAGGATGAAGGGAGACATCTTTAATGCAATTTTTCTACAAAGAAACACTTCTTATATGCCCCCTCCAAAATGAAAAGGAAGGGAGAGTAAAGAGAGAACAAGAGCAAGAGAGACACAAAGTTGCCTGTCTGCTAGGAATATAAACAGAAGAGTATTCAAATTAAAAGAGGTTCTTTGTCTTCCCAATTATTTCCCCTCCCCCCTCCCCCCATGATTTTCTCCAGTTGTTCCTTGTCAAACCTGTCACGATTATGTTCTCTCTCTTTCTCTCCCTCTCCATTTCTTTTTCTGGAAGGGTCTCTCTTTTCATCATAAAACATTTCTCGTATAAAAACCTTATATACACATATGTATATATGTATTATCTGACACAATTGTTGTGCCAGACTCAGAGAGGTGGCACCTTGCTTGTCAGATTTCTACAGTTGGAACAGTTGTCTTTGTCACGATTATGTTCTCTCTCTTTCTCCCCCTCTCCATTTCTTTTTCTGGAAGGGTCTCTCTTTTCATCATAAAACATTTCTCGTATAAAAACCTTATATACACATATGTATATATGTATTATCTGACACAATTGTTGTGCCAGACTCAGAGAGGTGGCACCTTGCTTGTCAGATTTCTACAGTTGGAACAGTTGTCTCTGGAACAGCTGCATTTGTGTAAGCCTGGAGGCAGGTGGCCCATGCTAGTCACTTGCCACTCATCACCAACACACTGAAGTCTGAAAGATCCATCCTGTTTCTTTAAGGACAAAAATCTCATTCGCAATGTCTGAATACCTCTCCATGTCACTTTGAAAAAACAGCAGTTGTTGTCGTCCCCCCCCCTCCGAATTGACCACCAGTGTCCAATTCTTTCGCTTTGAAAAGCCAGTGATTTTTCACATCTTTGTTTAAAGTACTTGATTATTTTAAAATGGCTTGATCACAGTTTTGGGTGGAAAACCATTGCACTCGATTTACACTTCCAAGAGAGAAAAGCATGTTCACCTCGCACTGACACATCCCCCAATGTCTGATCGTTCTGTTGGTTGAAATGCCAAGTAAAAGCAGCTTTCAGAGCCCGTTGCCTTGCTCATTTTCTTCTTCTTGAAATGTGACATGAGATGCCCAACAGCTTGGGGGATGTGTGGACAAGAAGGAGCTTGCATGTGGGAGGGGGGGAGATTTTAGACTCAGGCACCTCAGCTCAGGAAGGATCCACCACAGAAGGTATAGCGGCGAGCTGTAAACCAAGATCAGAAGCTGTTACAAATGGATTTCAGCTCTGTCACCAGTCCTATTTAGGCAGAGATCTGACTAGAGGGAGAAGGTGGGAGGGCAGGTCTAAAACCAATAGAGATCCTTGCTTTTATCCTGAGGCTGCAAACCTGAAAATAGAGAGAGAGAGAACAAAATGGAAATAAAACAAAACAAGGAGGAGGAAGAAAAGCTAAAAGGTAAGGACAGAAAAAGATCAACACCACGACTTTTGGGCATGAACAGATAATCTACCTGAAGCATAAGAAGAAGAAACAGCTTGAAACAAAGAGGAAAACTAAAATTTCAAGGAAAAGATAAAGGGGCCAAGCTTCCTAAGCCTGGCATTAAAAGTGAATTTCTCATGGTGAGACCTGATCAGCACCCTCTAAACAAAAACAAGGTAAATCATTATGAGGACTGAAGACAAGTTAAAAAGGTATTATTCAGAAGATCTTGAGGACTGAGTGACTCAAGAAAAATTAGTCTGGGAGAGCAAGTAGTAGCAAAGATGGTTGTTAGCAGTGTAAGAATTTAATCCCTGCAAGAACTTCATATGTACTGTGATTGAAAGCTGAGGGGAAAAATGAAGGAGGAAATATTGAGGGGGAATACATTACCCATCAATACAGGACAATCAGTTTTATTTTTTATCTCTTGAGTAGTAGAAACCAGATTCTTTCCTCAAAGAGAGAGAGGGAGGGAGAGAGGAGTTACCCAAGTTTGCATACCTACCAGAATAGAAATGAAGATAATAAGTGTAGTGGAGATCTAATAGGAAGAAATAATTTGCTATCAAGAGTTCAGTAAAGCATAAAAGCCAGGACTTTCATACCAAAAGAGGACCTACAGATCTCTTCCTTTTGATTAACATACTCCCTCCAAAGTGTGTGGACAGCCATTTCTAAGAGTGAAATGAAATATTACCAAGAAAATCAAAGAGGAGCTGGAGCTGCTGTTTGCCTCCTGCCTGGTAACATACAGTAGGACTGCAGCATCCACGTGGATTAGTTCCGAGCCCTCCTTCACAGATACCAGAAATAGCGGATAAGCAAGGCATTTCCTTTAGTTTCTATACATGGTTGAGAGAGGGAGCCCTGGCCCAGTCTTGCAAAAAGATTGGGTTTTCTGCTCTATTGTCCACAAGGGAGGCTTCCCTGAAACTACCGGATGCCACACGCCTCCACAAATGTGGCTTCTCCATTTCACCAGAAGCTGCTTCCATCCAAGATGTCAGGCCATGACGGCATTTCTATTAAGCCACTTGTATACAGCACAGTCTCTGGCTTCATCTAGTGGCCAGTCCTAGTAATACATCTTGGGGATGTATATTTCTGGATTTTATTCATTTATTTATTTTGGTAGCAGATAAATTAAACTTATCCTGTGGATACAGCAGTCCTACTGTATATGATACAACGGTTGAAATCCTGTTGCTTAACTTAGTAAATTGCACTGTTGTTGTTTAGTCATGTCCAACTCTTCGTGACCCCATGGACCAGAGCACACCAGGCCCTCCTGTCTTCCATTGCCTCCCTGAGTTGGGTCAAATTCATGTTGGTAGCTTCGGTGACACTGTCCAACCATCTGGTCCTCTGTCGTCCCCTTCTCCTCTTGCCTTCACACTTTCCCAACATCAGAGTCTTTTCCAGGAAGTCTTCTCTTCTCACGAGGTGGCCAAAGTACTGGAGCCTCAGCTTCAGGATCTGTCCTTCCAGTGAGCACTCAGGGTTGATTTCCTTTAGAATGGATAGGATTGTTCTCCTTGCACTCTCAAGAGCCTCCTCCAGCACCACAATTCAAATTGCACTAAGTAGGCCCATTAATCAATAGGGATTTGATGAGTTAACTCCTCCATAAAGTTCTTTGATTCAAATGGGTCTCTTATAATCCCACTGTTAATATAGCTCCACTAGTAGCTGATCCATTTCCAGGCACAATTAGGACTCAGTGCTGGTATTAACCTATAAAGTCCTAAATTGCTTGGGTTCAAGTTATCTCAAAGACTGCATTCCCTTTATGAGCCTGCCTGGGTTTTAAGATCATCAGGAGAGGCCTTTCTCTCAATCCCACTGCCCTCACAGGAACATTTGGTGAAGACAAGGGAGAGGGCCTTCTTTGTTGCTGTTCCCAGACTCTGGAACTCCCTCCATGACAGGCCAGGCCGGCCCCATCTTTGCTTTCATTCTGCAAGCAGATGAAGACCTTTCTCTTCAGGCAGACTTTTTCTTAGTGACTGGCTGTATAACGTTTTTTTTTCTTTTAAGGGACTGTTGTGGCTTTAAAAATTGTAATTTTAAATGCATTTTACTGTTTTATTTTTTTAGTTTTTATATATTTATTTAATTCCTTTTAAAACATTGTAATGATTTATTGCTTTGGCTTTCAGTGTTGTTTCTTTTAATACTGTACTGTAACCTGCCTTGGATCCTTTTTAATAGAAAGGAAGCATATAAATATTTTAAATAAATACTAAATTTTTTTTAAAAGCGACTAACTTTAGCATAGTAAGTTTCAATGAGAGTAGGCCCATTAGAATCAATGGAATTTATGGAAGGGTTGACTTACCAAATCCCCACTGATTCAATTAGCCTGCTCTGGTGCAACTTTGTTATGCTAAGCAACAGGGATTCAAAATATATGGCATGATACCATTCTGCTACGCATTTACCTGGTCCTATCATGACCAACCAGTTATGTGAAGGAGCCATCAGGAAATGCATGGATGTTGAAAGGCAACATGAATTCAACACATTGAGATGGAATATTCTCCATCTGAAAACTCAGCTTTGCAGCTTGCATACAAGCTTCCCAGCTTTCAGTTGCAAGCTCAACTTTTGGTTGTGGCTGAGAAAGGGCACCATTCAAGCTGGTGTGCCAGCTGTGCCCCATTCCTTGCAAAGTCTGATCTGGCTAGAGTGGCATATGCCATAGCTATATACTGCTTGGATTACTGTTCTACAGGGAGCTTCTTTGGAAAGTGTTTGGAAACGTCATTGAGTTCAAAAAGCTACGGCCAAACTGTTGACCGGAGCCACTTACAGAGAGAATGAATAGTCCTTGTTATGACAGCTTCACTGGCCATGAGTTTGTTTATGGGCACTATTCAACATGTGACCTACAAAACATGAAGATCATTGGCTTTTGAGATCTTCGCAGAAGGTCCTTCTTTTGGATACACAACCCTCAAAGGAAAGAACATGAGATGTCCTTTTTAGGGTTTGCTCCCAGACTGTGGTATGGACCCTTCCTTGTCATTCTTCCTCTACCAGGCAAAGACATTTGTCTTCAGGCAAGGTTTTAGCAAATGAATAAGCTGATGAGGAAACAGCTTTCAAAGGAAGATGCTGTACTTGTTCCTTTTCCTTCTTAATTATTTTTTAATTGTTTAATTTTTTAAAAATTCAGTTATCATTTTAATAAGATAGGATGTTCAACTGAATTTTAATATTGTAACTTGCCGTGCTTTTAAGTGTATCTGTTTTTTATTGTTTATAAGCTGACCTAGATTGCAAGAAAGAAAGGAAGGAAGGAAGAAAGGAAGAAAGGAAGATCCCTGTGGAATAGAATGTAAGTAAATACATAAATGGTGTCATGGCCTAATAGAACATAAACTATGGCATCACACAATATTGGGAAGTGAAGGGGGGATGTAGAATTTTTGCATTTTCTCTTTGTAGCACAGAGTGTGGCCTTCATTGCTGTAGGAACTGTGTTCCACACAAATTGTCGTCTTATTTCCATTGCAAGGGGGCCTTACTGACAATGATCTCCTATCTACATCCCCATTTTAATTACAAATGACAAACAAACAAACAAACAAAACAGAGGATGCTCAAGATGTGAGGAAGAGACAGACATAGGTGAAAAGATGGATCTTCTGGGCCTTACCTGTGTCCACATTGAGGCCTAAGCTCTGTGCCATCTCCCCAGCGGGACTGGAGAAAGGTGCTGGTGTCGTCCATGCTGAAGTAGCAGGCTCACTCTTTCCAAGTTCACATTGGGGACTGACAGCTGTGGGCACAGAGCCGGGTGTGAGGCGGTGAGGACGCATGGAAGCAGCGGGCACCAGCAATGAACTATAGCGAGGGTCAAAGTGCGGCCCATAGACCTCATGTACTGTGGTAGGGCGGGGATAGGCAGAGCTCTGTGTACCAATGTAAGGATGGTGGTGATGGTGGTGGTGATGGTGGTGGGCAGGGTGCCAGGGCTCCGGGCCACCCTGGTGGAGATGACTATGTAGCGAGCCTGGTGAATAAGGGTCCGCTGTCACAAAGGGCAGTTCACTGTGAGTGCTGGACGCCAGGGGGCTACCTAAGGAAGCAGGTACTGAAGAGGGCTGGTATGTGCTGTTCCAGAAAGAAGGCGGGAAGCTGCGTTGGCTCATGGGGAAGGATCCATCTGAACAAAGGAAGGGAGAGGAGAAAACATTAGAGCAACATCCCAATGGTTACAGTCTCTTCATTCATCTCTTTGGTTAACCCAACAGCTCCTTTATTCATCTCTTCACTCTGTCACTCATAGGAGTGTACAAGAGTGTGGCTGTGCTTCCTCACCATTGAGGACAGTGGTGAGGAATACTGGGAGCTGCAGTTCAACCACAGCTAAAGAGCTACGTTTGGTTGACAATTGACCTAGAGAATATCCGTCTTCTGCTTTGTTTATAGAGCAGTTCACCTACTGCCATCTGCAAGACTTCTCAAACACATTGGGTGCATGGATCTAGCCTGGAATCAATCAAGGCCGCCTTGATCCACATTCAGAAGAGAAAGGTGTTCCCCTTGACCAAAATAATCCCTGTCTGTTTTTACTTTTACATATGAGCTCTAAGTTAAAATACAGTATAATGCAAATGTAAAAATCTGTATGAACTAGACTGTTAGTTGATTTCACTTTTGTACTATATCCTGCATTAGCAACATTGGCACAAACAATATGAGATTATTCTGAATAAGCTTTTTTGTATTGTTTGTGAAAATATCCTGGCTCAACAAAAAAGCAATGTTAGCATCATTAAAGTGGCAGGAGGGACAACAACAAAGATGACAACAACCACCCTCCTCTAGTCTTCTAGAGAAACCCATGCTGAACATCCTTCAAAGGTAGCATGTAATGAAGTCATTCACACAACAAAGGATTGAATCATGAAGAAACTGTTGACATGTCAGAGATACACAGAGACAGCTACTCATTGTTCTTAATGAGATTGTTAGCAACTTTGCTTGTAATAAAGCAGGTGACTACTAATCAGATAGATAAGTTGGGCTGCCCGTGGCCTTTGAGGCAGATAACAAAGTTTTATCACAAGAACCAACAACAAAGGATCAGATTCAAGATACCATCTTCCGGTAAACACCCACAAAAATCCATTTGGAACTCCCCTACACACACACACACACACACACAGAGAGAGAGAGAGAGAGAGAGAGAGAGAGAGAGAGAGAGAGAGAGAGAGAAGAACAGTTGCTACACATTGGCTAAAATCCTGCTTCCCAACTTACACCGCACAGTAAAGATGAGGCTATTGAATGGGGGAAGGAATGATTTAAAGCCAGAAAACTGTCATCATCGGCCCAAGTAGCTTTTCTGTTGCTCTTTTGGGAATGGTGGTGGCAATTCTAGCTTTAAACCTCCCACCCCCATTGCATGGTTCCTGAAGGCTGCTCCAGGAGAAAGGGGATCCCTAGAGATTCCCAAAACAGGTGTGGATAGGTCAGTAGGAAACTTGCTACTGCCCCAAAATGGCCACCCAAAGCCATTTTGATGTTTATGAAATCATCCTCATTGTGCACTGTAAAGTTATGAAATCATCCTCATTGTGCACCTCTGCAGGGCACCTGGGATAGAATACACTAGGGAAGGTTATAGAGTTCATTTATCATGGAGGAAAATCCCCTTAGGAAAGACTTTAACATGAATAATCTAAGATTAGTGTAGATAGAAAAGTCTCAAAACAAGTTAATAACAAAAAATAGAGCACCAGATAACAAAAAACCGGTAACAATATGATTGTCAGCAGTTTAACCGTTAAAGGCCTGCCCTTTGTAGGGGAGATGGTTTGTTTGTTGACATGTCTGTTAATGAACAAATTGGGAAGTAAGCTGATTTCCCCCCCAAGAAAGACCTGGAAAAGAAAAGAATTCTGGAAATAGGGTGCCGCCACCAAGAAAATCCTGGCTCAACTTGTTCTCCTGAATGATTGGAATGACCTGACAGTTCCAAAACAAAAACAAAAAGCTACAGCCCAGCATCCATGATATATCTCCTTGGTACGAAGACAGATGCTGTAAAATGAAGACAAACTTCTTAGTAAAAGTATCACATAAAACCTGGTATCTGTCAACCGTTATTTGTAGCTATTTGGAAGATCAGTCTCACTTTTGAAAACAGAGTGCTTTAGCATAGTCTTCTTCAGTATGAAAAGGCCATCAGAATCTGAGAGTCTTTTTTCATGTTCAACCAAGAACCGAATCAGTGCTTAGTTTTAAGATCCAGGACCCAAGTTTTACTGGAAGCAAGGAATCATGCAATTAGGACACTGTGGACTCACAAGTTGTGGAGGAAAACCTCTTTAGACAGCACTGCATTTTCTGCACTTACTTCGAGGTCTGCCCGGTTCTGAAAGGGCTTACTTTTCCTTAGTGTCCTAAGAGCATCAATGAAAGCCACTTTTTCCTAAACTGAAATGGGTGCAACCGTAGCTGTGCAGGACACTTGAAGAAGATCGAGTAGCACAGATGTGCCCGGTGGGAAAGTACCCAGTGGGTACTTTAAAGAAAGCTGTGCAGGGCACTGACTGAGGCTGCAGGCGCCCATTAATAAGGCCAGAGCACTCTCCCGCCTCTCATTTAACTACGCCCCGGGGCTGGCCCCTGGCAATGAGAGCCGGCTGAGAAGCGGCCACTGCAATGTGTCTGGCGTCATCCATCCTTCCCTGCCGCTTCACACAACCTTCCTCAAACGGGCAGCCTCCCCGTGTGCTGGACGCCCAGACGTGAAGCCGATGCAGCCCCGGCGGGGGCCAAATGCAGACCTCTAAACTGTTTTAATACCTTCCTTTCTCCCCCTTTTTTTCGGGGCGGGGGTGGGCATTCTGTGCCTTTCCTGGGAGCCTCCGGGGGCGGGACGTCCCCTTTGAAAGGAGTTCGGACGTTTACACGCACCCCTTTAATACCCCCTTTGCAAAACTGGAAGTGGAGGCCTTGTCTGCTGGGAGCCAAGCTGGGGGATGACGCTGGTTTAAGATATTGGCTTCCAGTATTGCCGGGGAAAACCCCAAACCAAAAACTTTTGCGGCATCATCTTAAAGACAGTAATATTTCCATGGCTTGAAATCCTGTTGCTCAGCCTAGGGAACTGCAGCTAGAGGAGGCCTATTGAACAAATCGAATTTAGGGAGGAGCTGACTCACTAAAGCCCCAATGATTCAATGAACCTATTCTAGTTGCAACTCACTACTCTAAGCAACTCGATTTCAATCAACCTGAACTCGGAAAGAATCAAAAGCTTCCAGTAGCTATTCTCTCTCTCTCACACACACCCTTTATTTTTCGTTTTATTGAAGCCGTTTGGAAAGTTCTGCCTGCACCAAGACGTGGAATGTATTCTCTATGCTTTTCGAAGGTGCTCTACGGATTTTGCCTTGCTAACACTGAAGAAAGGGAGGGAAATATATTAAATGTATACAGTCCATGTATATTCGTCGCAAACAATGCCTACCGCTGCAACCCTATATACTGTACATCTAAGAGCTCCGAGTAACTCTATTGCCCACGGAGAAGCTTCCTTTTTGTTATACAAGATCGCGCTAAGGCAGCCTGAAAACCTAGGCGCTGGGACTGACTTCTAAGTAGGTATGTTTTGAGCCGTCTTCACGATTTAACCGGAATGCATTCCAATAGTATTTGCCAGAAAGGGATTGAACAACCCTAGTTAACTCACTAAATTCAGTGTATCTCATTTTCGTTAAGATGATATAAGCCTAAATGATCTTTTTTGTTTTATGGGCTTGATTGTTCACTTAGAGTCCTGGCCCTGTTTTATACGTCCAGACTTCATGGCATAGGAATTTCATCTGTGGTGCTATAAATCATTCTTTTAAAGAAAACCGATACTACTGTTTACAGGTGGAAGCTGTCAGGAGGCGCTGGGAGGAGAAAGAATAACTCATATGCCTAGTTTAAAGACAGTTTTTAAAAGAGTAATTATTATTATTATTGAATACACCTTTTACCTACATAGACGATGTTCAAGCCATAAATCTTAGGGTGAATTTGTATTTCAAAAATCAGTGTGCTATTTTTTTTAAAAAAGAAAATCTTGTCAGCATCACCCAACAAAGAAGACCAACGGGCCAGGCGTGAATAAATCATTTGGAAAATGGGGGGCGGGGGAGAGGATAGGGCTTGCTTTGTTAAAAAAAAAAGTTTCTCAAGCCTCATCCCTTTATCAAATATCTGAAGAAAGTACACAATACTAAACACACACAAGATAGAGTAAATTCCATGCAAGCTGCACAATTGCCTCCGAAGACGTCCAAAGGATGGTGCTATCAGATGACCACCACACCTGTTCAGTGGACAGTCCCTGCATGCAAGGGGGCCAGCATCCTATTGAGCTTCTGTGGAGCAAAGCGGGGCTGCCCCGGCACAGGCGTCGTCCTTCTGCAAGCCGAGGGCTGGCTTTCTTCCAGCGCAATCCTGCGTTACTACGCGCGGTAACTTTCCGCTCACAGAGAAAGTGCTCGATCGGACCCCGGCCAAAGGCCTTGGGTGAACAGCGTTTAGGATGGCCACTCCGGCGCTCCTGAAATAGAAGCCGGACGGAAACTGGAACCAAACCGAAAGCCGATCACGAGAAGGATTGAAAACCAGTCACCCTTGTACGTCCGTTTCACGACCCTTTTGTTCAAAGATAGGCATGCTCCTTCGCGGTATCGGTAGCCAGGGAAGGAAACAGGACGAGGAAATGCGCCCTTGAAAGCTGCAAGGTTGACAGCCTTGGCGATCGGGAGCTGCTTGATAGGGTTTGTGAAACAGCACCTGGTAGGGCTTCCGACGGGCATCTCTCAGATGTTTTCAAATCCCCCGAATGTAAAACAGCCAAGCGTGTGCCTAGAAGGACTGCCAGCCTAAATTTCAGCTGCAAGTGGGCGGCTTTGAAAAAAAAAAAAACCCAAGTATTTTGCCATTTTTTTGCCCCATTGTCCGAAAGAGCCCAATCATCAAATGAAGCCAGGAAGTGACCCCCGTTTTCGAAGAGTTGACATCTCAATGCGATTTTCCTTCTGCTTCCGGAAGAAAAAAAACCACACACACACACAAACTAAATGTCTCCCGTGGGGCTTCTCCGCAGAAGTAGTTTTCCGCAGATGTGTTGAACTATTGTATCTGTTTGCTATATTTATCTTTCTTCTCTCCACAGATTGCCCCGGGGTGTGTGTCCATCTCTCTCTCTCTCCTACAGCCACACAGCAAACCTGTGAGACAGATCGGGCTCGGAGGGAATAACTTGCTGAATAACAGTGAGTTTCCTGGTTCAGTGGAAACGAAAATCTGGATTTTCCCAAGTCCTGGTCCAACACTCTGACCACTCCATCAGACTCCGAAGGCAAACGTACCCGATGCCTTTATTAGACCACTAAAACATGAGAATCATAAACTAGCTTTCCACCCCGTAGGGCGAGCAAAGAGTGGTGGCAGAAGAAATATCACCGGCCGCCCCCCCTCCCAACGGCTCGGACATAGCGCCGGAGAGTTTAAACTGCAGTGGTTCCCAGTCTTGGGTAAACCAGGCGGTCTTGGACAGCAGCTCCCGGAAATCCTGGGCAGCACAGCAAGTGGTGAAGGCTTTTGGAGGACGGCAGTCCAAGAACATCTGGGGACCCCAGATTGAGAACCACTGATCTGAAGCACACCCCCGAAAGGGGAGCTGCAGACCCAAGTCAGAGGCACCAGGTCCCGAGCCCACCTCGAGTGGATTGGAAATGTCCCTCCCAATTTTGTTAGAGCAAGAGCAGCTGGTCATTTTGCATCCTCCCACCCCTACCCCGCGCCTCCCCGGTCCTGCTTCAAGACACAGGGTTTCTTTTTCCGCCGCCTGTCCGCACGCAGAAGCCTAGCAAACCCCGCACCAGAGGAGTGGAGATAAAATTTAGTGTACGTCGCATTGGGTCCGAGTACATCTCCCATCATCCCCAAGAGTCCAGCCCATCTGGAGGACTCCGGATTACGATAAAGGGGAATGAGTTTGAACCCTCAACGACCTCCTTTCTTCACGAGCCCATGTTTTGTTCGAGAGGCTTCGCTCTCGCGTTGCCAACGAAGCAGCGGGTGGAAAACCAGGCGAGCCTCCTCTTGCGCTCTTAAACAGCTGCTCGATATGCTGGAATTAGCAGGTGACGGCTTTACAGCGCGGAAAGATAAACGGAATTACCTGCTCGTTGCTGCTGCTCAAAACGGCGTTAAAGGGGCCGCTGGATCCGCTCTCAAACCCGGCGCCTCGACTCGCCCTTACCCGCACGCACGGGTTGCTCCCAGCCGCGATCCGAAGCCGAGGCCCCGGGGAGGACCGCCAAGAGCCCTCGCCGCCCTTCCAGAGGCTTCGGTGAGCTTTTTTTTTGGGGGGGGGGGACACCGCGAGCGCTCAAGGCAGCAGCTCTGCCGCTCCAGGGAACCCTCGCCGGGGAGGAAAACCCGGGCCAAAGCGGTTCCGAACTGATCGCGTTCTCAGGAAAGGTACGCCTCCGTCTGAAAAACAAGGACTTCGTGGCCACCCTTTCTCCCCGTTAATTCCAGAAAACACGCTTTCTATAAACAGTCCTTGGAAGCAAAAAGAAAGCAAGGAGGAGGGACAAAGGGGGATGGATGGTAGCCTTTTACCAGAGTGACGGTCCCATCCTGTATGTTTAACTCAGAATTAAATAGGTAGCAGATGCAGTCGTGCCAGATCTGCGCAAGGAGAAAGCAGCTATCCTTCCCTATACAGAAATCTGGTGTTTTTTTTCTCCACTTCGAGAAGTTACCTGCCCTCCAGTCACCTCTGACTTATGACGACCCTAACAGCAGTTCTCAAGACGTGTGAGTGAGATATTTAAAGGCGGCTTTTAGCACTGCCACCCCTCCCTGAGTTTCCATGGCCAAGCAGGGATTTGAACCCAAGCCTCCTTAGTCCTAGCCCATCCCTCCTTCCACTACACAACAGGGGCTCCCTCACTTTGAGAAGCAGGGAGAGTCAAGAATCACCTGATCCAGCCTGTATTTCTTTAAAAGGCTAGTTGTCTGCATAGCAAAAGACCTTCTAGAAGTTCTTGCACTGCAACTTCAGACAACCTTGGCCTGTAAAGTCAATTGCAAAGGATGATGGGAATCCAGTTCAACAATGTTTGGAAGGCTCCTCCTATTCTTGGTACAACTAAACTGCCTTCTAGGCAGGCCTGCCAGAATTTATAAGCTGATCCTCAACCTGACCAGAAAGTACACAATCCACACCATCTCATCCCTTTCTCTCCCCCCACCCCCGCAAAAATAAACACTCACCAGTTCCTGCTTTCCCCTTAGTCCTTATTAACCTTCAAGTTCTTAACATCTACTTCTTGGGGACATAACTAAACTGCCTTCTAGGCAAGCCTGCCAGAGTTTATAAGCTGATCCTCAACCTGACCAAAAAGTACACAATCCACACCATCTCATTCCTTTCTCTCCCCCCACCCCCGCAAAAATAAACACTCACCAGTTCCTGCTTTCCCCTTAGTCCTTATTAACCTTCAAGTTCTTAACATCTACTTCTTGGGGCCAAACTATGCATCACCCTTTTGGCATAATCTTCTTTTTAGTCAGGGCACACTTTTCTATTAAATATGTTTTCTAAATAAATTTAGTAATATTGTCACTTAGTAATTTAAGCACCCTGCCTCTACTCCAGGGACTAGACAAAGAAAGTGGGTTTAAAAACCTCAAAGGATACAACTACTGCTCTTTTACTCTACTAACAAAGGGACCTCTTAACAGAGCTCTCCCATAATATAATAAATAATCTGAGTCAAAATCTGCAACCCCAGTAACCTAATTACCCACACTGATAGGCATGAAGAGATGCAGAATGAATTGAAGCTGGACAACTCTCCAGATGTTGTTGGAACTGCAAGACCCATCTGTCCTAGCTAGTATAAACAATGGTGAAGGATTATAGCAGTTGTAGTTTGACAAAGCATTGAGGCCCCAGGTAGCTTGGTTTAGACCTGGAGCAGCACTGAACAAAACATGGCCCTTCAATATTTCTGCAGCACAGCTCTCAAGTTACCTTGCCATGGGCTGTGCTGTCAAGGGCCACTGGAACTGGGAGTCCAAGGAGCATCTAGAGGGCCTTGCATTGCCTGAGAGGCAAGTCTCAGTGTAGGGGTGCATGAATAGTTCTTCAGCTGGCTTTCTTTGAATTTATTTGCTCATTTATTTTATTTTTATACATACTGCCCAACCAGTGGGAAAAAAACCCATTGCTCTGAGTGGTTTACAACAATGTTAAAAACACAGCCATCCTCAGTTGTAAACTGTACAATCAAAATTGAAACCGACAACAAAATAGTAAGGACAACAACAATAAAGTTGTGTTTTGACAACTAAGGTAGAAGATACCGCTGAGGGCCAACAGAAAAGAGGGAGATTCCCTTTCTTTCACTCTTCTTTGGAATCAGTAAGGCCAGCCAGATGTGAGCCCTTTTGTCTTCTGACTGATTTCAGTGGGAAAGATTTACACAGGAGGGGCCTGGGTTAGTCCAGCTGTTGGAAAGAGTCCCTTGGGAAGCATCACCTGTCTTGACCATCACTTCTGTTAAAAAAAAAAAAACCTTTTCTGAAACATTTCCAGTTTGGCACTGGTAAGCTTTTGTGTCCCACCGGAGCAAATCCAGAAGAGTCGAGGAGATGATGGTGGCTCCCTTTCTCTCCCTCTTCTTGTGTTCCTAATATGGGCCACCCACCACAGAGCCCAAGTTCTAAGCAGGCTTGCTCAGAAAGAAGTCCAGGCTCCAATTGGTGGATCACAAGGGCTTGTAATGAAACTCGGAGAACATGTCTGAAGAGTGAAGTGTGCTGCCTTCTGATGTACGCTGGCAACAGGGTGAAAAGAACAGGCAAAATAAAATTGCAATATTTTTGTGCCCTTCAAGGGCAAGTCTGTATCTGCCAGTGCTTCCCTCCTCCTAGTTGCAGCAGAGGAGATTTCCACAAGTGATTGGGAAAGCACTTGATTGCTAGGAAAAACAGGGTGCATAATTTATAATCCCTTGCCCCATGATGGAGAGTTTTATCTCTGCCACCCCACATGCTGCTAGAAGAGTCCAAAGGTGAAGCAGAGTCCTTATAGCTGCCAATGTTCTGCACATTAAAATTATAGCACAGGAAAGGAGAATGCATAGTTCCCCCCCACCCACTCCCACCCCAATGATGTTGGCCTGTAACTTCCACCAGCTCTGGCCAGCACAGTCAATGGGAAGGGATGGTAAGAACAGCAGTCAAACATAGCTGGGAGAGCCCAAGGTTCCCCTCCTATCAAAGGATTAGGTCCCTTTTGAAACCCTGCCATAAGCAATCAGGTTTTCCCCCCCACACACACACCGCCCTCTAGTCTTTTCACCCAGGGTTGTTCTGCCCCATATCTCTTGGCTGTTTGTTTGGTGTTTTTTTTAACTGTGGCAAAATAAGAGCACTACCCTTTTGGACATGGCTACTACCCCCCAGAGCACCAGGACCAAAGATGAAACCACAGCCTGTCCTGAGATTTCTCATTTACTTAGCTTTCACCAGAGTTTGGAGAAAGTATTTGTCTGGATCACAGCCCCCATCATTGCCCTCCCAATATGCTGACTGGGGGATCCTGGGAGCTGCCCCCAGAATCGCCACTCTTTGTTGAGAAAGCTTGAACCAGACAGTGCTGTCCCCGTCCCACCTTAGTAGGCGCCCAAACGGACACCCCAGCCCAGACCCCACACAGCCCCCAGGCTCGTGTCTCAGCTCACCCCTCCAAGAGCTGGAGCTCCTTCCGGTGGCCTTGGCGCTGGTGCTGGCGCTGGCACTGCTGGGCGAGTAGCTGCTGGGCTGGCTGAGGGCCCGGCTAAAGTGCTCATCCACCACCGCGCTGATGTCCCCTTGGAAGTAGACCCCACACAGCCCCCAGGCTCGTGTCTCAGCTCACCCCTCCAAGAGCTGGAGCTCCTTCCGGTGGCCTTGGCACTGGTGCTGGCGCTGGCACTGCTGGGCGAGTAGCTGCTGGGCTGGCTGAGGGCCCGGCTAAAGTGCTCATCCACCACCGCGCTGATGTCCCCTTGGAAGTAGGTGAACAAGACACATCTGGAGTTGATGTATTCTGCCTCCGGGGGGCGCTCTTTCTCCGGGCTGCACTCTTCCTCTTTGATGCTGGCAGAGGTGGCGTGGCTGGAGAAGGTGCTGCTGGCGCTGGTCGCGGTGCTGGTGCTGGCGCTGCTGGCATTCTCGGCGGCTTCCTGCATTTTCGAGTAAAAGGCTAGTTTCTGTGGAGGAAAGCAAAGGACGGTCAGGACGGATTCACACATGCCTGCGTGTTTGCCCACTCTCGCCTGTCGGGTTGCGTTCGAACGTGTGAAGAGCGATCCGACCGTTCTTTCAAAGCAGTCAAAGGCGAAACCTTTTGTCTTTTTAGCCTCGCTGTGTTCCTTATCATTACCGTCGCTCTTCGAGAAACCAACTTCTGTATCTGAGGAAGTGACCTTGTAAAGCAGGCAAGCTGACCTGTGTTTTGTGTTACAGTAGTGTAAGGAAAGGAAAAAAAAACCCTGATGCCTAAAACACGAAGATCAACAGGTGAACTACCGTTTATTGTTTATCCGACACCGAATTTGGAACAATAGGAACATCATTCGCTGGTCTGTAAGGTGCCACTAAGTTTTGTAACCGAGGAACAGACCAATTCCTCCTTCCCTCTAAACTCGACTGTCTGTAGCACAGGCGGCTGGTAATCAAGCGAGAGAAATACCTCCTCTTGAAATTGGGGTCGGGCGGGACTGTGGTGCTCTGCTCTGCTAGTCACACCTAACTACAGTACCTCGGCTGTTTCTCACGTTCAGGTTGTGATTGGATAAAAACTCTATGGAGAGGGTGGGCAAGGCTCAGGTGTGAACGCCACCTTCCTACGGAGAGTCCTGCAAAGGCCTCGCACTGACGTTTCGAAGGACGGACTCCGTGGGTGGTAGCCTACGGCCACTTTCACCTGCCCCCCTCCGACCCACGCAATGCCTTTAAACCAAGAGCCTGACAAGGCTGGCGAACGAAGGCGTCGCCCTTTGCCTGCCTGACGACAAGCAGCCTTCGGGATGGAGGCCACCCCGATACTCCACCTCCGAGCAAGATTTCTACGTTAATTCCAGGCAAACCCACCCCGATGGGTCAACAGGGGAGCCGGCCACGTGCTCCGCATTTCTCAAGGCCAGCACTCTTAATTAGTTCCCTTTGCGCGTATCCAGACCACTCGCGAAATATTTGGAGATGCGGCTGATTAGCTGGGGCTTACAGAGGAACGGAAGCACCGCAGAGGCAGAGATGCCATTGTCAGGACCTGGGGAAGGAAGGAGCCCGGCCGGGCGGAGGCGAGGCTGCAGAAAGAGGAGACACTGCTCCTCCTCCTCCGACCCGTATTTTGCGGAGGAGGCGAGGGCGGATGGAATAAGACACACTGGGGGACGATCGGTCAGTGGATTGGGTATCTGGTTGGGAGTTCGATTCCCCACTGTGCCTTCTTGACCGAGGCTGGCCTCGACGGTCTATCGGGTCCTTTCTCGCTCTGCAGTTCTATTATCATCATCATCATCATTATTTTACAACCACCGCAGAAGACTCCTGGCTGGGCTTCTTTTCCCAGAGGTCTCAAGCTCCAAACTGGCATTCATGTGGGCCAGTGTCTTTAGACTGCTAGTCTCAGTTAGACTAAACCCAGGGACTCTGTGAGATTGAGATAAGTGTTGATTTACCATTCAGCAGATGATTCAGTGGAGCTACTGCAGCTAACATTAACAAGGGGATTCCGGCCATACACTACATCCAACTCCACACCACTTAAGACGTAGTCTTTAATGGTTGATTTAAAAGTTCTGTTGCCATAAAAACAGAGTCTTGTGGAGCCCTAAGAATCTAACGAATTTTTATTTAATAAAACCCAGTTTGTAAGTGTGTGAATTCCTGTGCGTGTAACCGATCGGCAGCTTCAGGCGTGAAGACAGATGGGGAAAATACAGACTATAAACGAAAAAGACGTTATATTAAAAATATTTTCAGCATTGAAGCACAGAACTCCAGGAACTTGCAGAAATCACTTTACTTTTACTTAGAAGTCGAAGACTCATCAAAAAACGGGTGAAAATGACATACTCGTAGAAGAAACGAATTCTAAGTCCTGGAATTTGTTTTGAATACCAGAACAGCCTGCGGGGCGCGGTCGGATCATCAAAAAATTCACTCCAAATTGCTCTAAGCTCGCTTTATTTCAGATATCGGTAGTTTAATATCAGTTGCTGAAATTATACTAGCATAACTTAATTATATTTAAAAAACTGGGAATCAGAAATTTGTACAGATAACTCTGAGACACCTATAAAGACGACATGGATAAAAACCTACGAAGAGATGCGAAGTTACTTTATAGCCACTATTCCCTTGGACACGGACATGTGCTTAATGGAATCGCGCGGGGCAGTGCGCGCGTATGTTTTTATGGTATTCCTTGGACCAGAAGTGAGTCATCAAAAATCCAGAACCCAAAACTTCTGGGGCGAGTTGATTTCCCCGAGGAAAGGAAGTTCCAGTTTATCTAAAAGGGGCCAAATGGGCCCGGCCGCTCGTAGGTAATGTAAACGTCTGTGGGGTGCCCGATTCGCTCTATTTTTCCGAAAGTCACCTCCAGAGCTGGCCTGACAAACCGGGGCAGGCCGGCCGTGTTCTCGCTGGCTTTCGGGATCTTGGAAGCGGGTGGGGTGAAGTCTCTGCAGCTTTCACGCCTAGCCCTTTGGGAAGAACGCTTCCCTCCGATAGATGGGGAAAACAGGGAAAGGGGTCGCCGTGAGAAGAGGGCCCCGCGCACAACTAGCCCTTCCCGACCCATTTGGCAAGCGGAGGAAGGAGGGCCTTTCAGGCGGGACCAGGGTCGTTTCGCCAGATTGATTCTTCGGGCGAAAGGGAGGTCTCTGGCAAAGCCCGCTCCAGGTTTTCAGCTGGTCCGAGCGCAGCTGCTGCGGTCAAAAGCCGAAAAGAGGAGGAGTAATTGGATTCGGACACGGCCTTCCGAGCAAGACCGCTGCAGGCAGCTGTGGCTAGGAAGCGGCTGGGAGTGTGGAGGGGGCGGGTGGGGAGAAGGAGAAGTCGCCCGGAAAGTTAGGCGAAACCGACGGACAAGCCTTTTCCTCCAGAACCCGGGCGGGGGGGGGGGAAGAGACGGGCCGCTCAGACGGGATGAGACAGATTCGCGGGAAGGGGCCCTTAACGGTGGAGATCGCCCATCAGGTCGCCCACGGGGGGAAACGGGACAGTGAACCCGAAGCCTTTTGTTCCGAAGGCCATCCTGACCCACGGCGGAGACATTCATCGGGCAGCCGGGGGCTCTCCGCCTGGAGCTGCCAAGTTCGGGCGCGCCAATAAACACATTTGGAGCTGCTTATTAGCTCCAACACAGTATTTGGAGAAACATCCTGCTTATCGAAATCGCCACTCAGGAAGGCTACCGGGGTTGTTCTTCTGCTACGATCTTCTTTGTTCGCGCCCTGTGTCGAATTTTTGTTTGGAAGCTGCTCGAGCCAAGAGGCGCTTTTTCGCCCGCTGGCTCTCGTTCACTTTGGTTACACCGAAAAAACCGCCCCGCACGTCCGCGCACGATGCCGGCCCAGCTGAAACGCCGCTTTTCAATACAGCCCTTCAACCACCATCCTCGGGGGAGGAAGGAAAAAGTAGGTCACATCATATGGAAACAGGTGAAGGGAAATGACCCCAGCCTCAGGTGCCACCAGAAGAACAGGTGCCACCGAAATCGTGGCCCTGTAAGTGTCGCTGAACTATATACTGCCGTCGACTCTAATCAGAATAGCCACTGGTGAAGGCTGATGGAAGTTGGAGTCCACCAACCTCTGGACAGCTACAAATTGCCTAGTCCTGCGCGGAACTTCCTTGTGAATTAGACATCCATAGGATTGCACGGAAAAAGCCTGTTCTGGCTTTATCACACCTCCCAGAGAGATCAGAAGAAGGCAATACCGGGAAAGAAGAGGTCGGAGAGACTAGGGAGATCTTTCGAAAGATTATGGGGAAGGACCAGTAGTGCTGCTTAAGTCTGTCCTCAGCTGCAGCAAAGCAGGCAAAGAAGTTTGTGACACCTTAAATATTATAACAAGTTTAATTTGGCACGGGCTTCTGAGCGCAGCAAAGCACTTTTTCAGATGCAACCTTGAATATGGGGAAAGGCGGGGTAAAAAACATTTCAAATAAATAATAAATAAAGATCTTAGACAACACATTCGCTCCCGTGATCTTTCATTGCTTCCTTTGGAAATTGTTGAAAAACATTTCCAAAGATTTCAAGAGAACTTTACTTTCGCGTACAAGGAAGACTATGTCTTTCAGATAATTGGGTCCCCGACATAATTATTAATGAGAAAACGCCACAAATTTCAGTGACACCCTACTGTTGTAGTTTATTCCATTATAGTTTTAAGACAGTCTTAAAAGGCGAAAGACCGGCGGCCCCCATATCCCGCTGTTATTGCTCCTTTTCCGTTTTCAGCCAGGAGAAAAACTATCGAACAGGTGCTGTTTTTTTCGTAAGCTGAATTCCTATTGGGTCCGACAGGAACTGTTTATAACCTGTTCCGAAATCTCTTTACAAGTTGGAGTTTATATGAAAGTGGATTTGTAATCCTACAGACCTTATCCTACAACCTTTTACCGGGAAGTAAATCCCCTTATACTCAGAGAGATTTATTTCTGACTAGATCAGGATCGGATTTCGCTGCAAATCCTGCCTCATTTGAAAAAAAGAAACGGAATATTGATAGTAAAATGCTGTTTTGTCAATAATAATGCACTTGGTCTATTCAGCCAAGAACGAGCATTTATTTCAAGCAACAAAATATCCATATTTGTTAGAGGGAGGCATTGAGCGAACATTTATTTCCATTCCGACCGGATTGGCTAAACCAGCTTGATTTAGATTCGGACATGTGAGAACCGGTGGATTTTACTTAATATAACGAATTCTAGACGTGGCGAAGGCAGTAGGGTTCGATACATTTTCCCCACCTCATTCGCACATATGTCATCGAAGTAAAACATGCGACCTGGAACTCCACTTCGTGAATTGTTACCTATCCTACAAAGCTTCGATTCTTGCTGCTGAAAATTGCTACTGATAAATGCAACACTCAACAGAAGTCAAGCTTAAGAACACGATGTGATGCCTTTTTTAAGTGATCATTATGAATAAGTATTATCGTGTTTATACACCGCATTTCTAAGTCAAAGAGATTCACAGACAGTTGGGATCTCTAAAACATCCCCGTAAGGACAGCCAATATTTTTACCTTTTTTTCTCACACAAGGATAAAAGATGGGCAAATACTCGCTTAATAAGAGGCCTATGGAGACCGTGCCTGAAGGAAATCATCCGGCAGCACCTGTTACAATTCGAGTAAGGATTGCGCTCGCTCTTTTGTTGGCACTGTCATTCCGCAGTTAGCTCGCTTCTGTCTCATTGATGCCGACTGATTTAAACGACCGCTCCTGCCACCCTAAACACACTGTACCCGGGAGATTAATCCCCCTAGATTTAATGAGATATTTAGAGCGGGCTGCACGGTTAAAATGGTGTGCGGGATTAGTTCACTGCAAAATCCGCCCACACCATTTCTGGCAATTGCCAGATCGCGCTTTCTATTCACAGAAAAGAAGCCGTGAAGCACTTTATATGAAAATAGCAGCGGGGGGGGGGGGGAGAGGAACCCCTAACCCAACCCAACCCAATCCAACCCAACCCTGGTTTCCTATCGGTATCACCGACAACCGCACTTAAACCGAAATTCCTGCTAATTCATTCTCCTAGAAATCAAGGGATCTTCGACGCATCCGTATGTCACGCTAACTGAGCCGGGGAGTTCACTCAGTCTTGGGAAGAGCAAGGGGGGGGGGAACGTGATGCGGAAAGTTGAGTCCAAGCCTCCACCTCATCTACACGCGCCCCCCCCCCAGCCCCGGGGAGGAAGACAAGAGACCGTCCGCCTGCCTTAATTGCTCATCATCACCAGGGCATGATTGTGCCAGGTTCGGGAGGCTGCTCTTTGCCAAAGGGAGGCCTTTGGCAGGGCTGTCGCCAGGCCCGTCAGTCGGAGGAATCTGGGGCGCGTGGAAGCACCGCCTGGCACTTCGCGCAGGTGGCACCGGGCCCTCCTTGCCGCTTCCCGCCCCCCCGCCCCGGCCCCTGAAACCTACCTGGTGGTAAGCTGCTGCAAAGTAAGGCTGGGGAGGACCATAGACTTGGTACATCACATCCAAGCAGCTCATGGCTAAAGGCAGGTGGGACTCATGTATTAGCGCGTCAACTCGCTGGCTATGCCAAGGGAAGG